CACACTTCTTATGGGATTTTGGTTGAACGCGGAATTTAACCAAATTTTGGTATGTTGTATATTTCGACCAACTGAGTAAAAGTTCTTATGGGTACAAACCGATCCTATGACTAGTTTCGGATATACAGGGTTTTTTTTTAATACTACCTCAGGCAACCTGAAAATACTGAATTTTCATGCTTTTTGCGTTTATTTGTGGTAGGTAGCTTTAAAAAATGTTAGAGTTTAGTTTAGACCTTTTACAGAAAGGTGCATGTTTTAAGTTAGGTGCCTATATATGTGAATGTACGAAGGTATTTTGAAAAGTACTTGTTTGGTGGGTCTTTGTGTGTTTTTAAAACAATCACAAATAGAAGTATGACAAACTATATACTGTATTTTTATCCAAGATAGATTTTGACTTGACACTGTCAACTTTGAAACTAAACAATGCCGCTTATCGGTCGCAAGATGCCATTTGCACCTCATTTTTTTTTTTTTTTTTTTTTTTTTACGGATATGCGCATTCGCAAGGAAATGTCCTATCACGCTCGAGAAGCGGCAAGTGCGCGGAAATGTCGGTGTATGTTGGTCTTGAAATGGTTCAGGTTGTAACCTGCAGGGAAAACCGTCGCAGGGAGTTTATTCCACAGCGATGCTGTTCTCCAGAGATATGAATTCTGATATAATGAGGTTCTTGGTGCCTCTAGTTTGACAGTAAATTCATGCTTACCGTCTGTTTGACGGGTTCGCCTGGTAGGTGCTACTCTCGGTGGAATCATACGTGCCAACTCTTCAGAGCATTTTCCGTGATAGTACCTGTAGAAGAGAGATAAATCGCCCACAGATCTGCGATGTTCGAGACCATCCAAGTTACGAGTAAGTGCGGGGTCATTGATCAACTTGATAGCTCGTTTTTGCACGGTATTCAAAAGCATTAAGGTATGTTTGGGTGCTGCACTCCATATATGTGAGCAGTACTCCATAGTTGGTCGAATCTGGGCTTTGTAGAGTGTCAGCAATTGGCTTGGTGTGTACAGATGTCTTGTACGAAATAGCACCCCCAGCTTTTGGGAGGCCCTTTTAGCAATATCTGCCACGTGACTGTGCCAAGACATGTTGGTCTCTGCAGTAACCCCCAAGATGTTCAACTGACTCTGTAATGTGACAGCACTTCCAGATAGCATGATGTTTGGCTCACCGGTGCTGGTCTTTTTGGAAAACAGAGCTGCTTGGGTTTTCTGTGCGTTGAACTGTACAAGGTTTTTGTTACCCCAGTCCTCTATTATCTCCAGGTCGTTATTTATCTGCGATATTTGAGTTAGTCTAAGATGATGGAATTCACGTGCGGAAAGACCTGTGGGTGGTATGAGTGAGGAGACTACATTGCCATCGTCTGCAAAGCAATAAAGTGGATTTACTGTTTTATCTATGAGGTCATTTATGTAAATCAGGAAAAGAGTTGGCGAAAGGATTGCTCCCTGTGGCACACCAGCATTTATTTGGTAAGAGTTGGAGTTCTGGCCATCCAGTGCAACATAAATGGATCTGTCCTTTAGGTAACTTTCAAACCAAGTGCAAAGTTTCGGCGATAATCCCATTGCTTTGAGCTTGTTGAGCAGATTTTCATGCCAAACTTTGTCGAATGCTTTAGATATATCTAAGGCAATTGTTCTTGTTTCACCCCGCAACTCAATCGCTTTTTGCCATAAGTGAGTGACGTATGTAAGTAAATCGCCAGTTGATCTATATTTTCGAAATCCGTATTGCTTATCGTTGATAATTTTGTACTTTTCCAAGTACTTGGTTAGGTGATTGTTCAGAACTCTTTCCATTACTTTTGATATCACCGGAAGTAGGGCAATTGGTCTATAGTTTAACGGATCTGTCTTTTTTCCTTTCTTTGGAATGGGTTGTACTGCGGCAGACTTCCATGATGATGGATATACTCCTTGCCTGTAAGACAAATTGAATAATTTTGCGAAAGTTGGGGTGAGTTCGTTGGCGCAATTTTTGAGTACTATTGCGGGAATGCCATCCGGACCCATTGCTTTGTTTGTATCCAGCTTTTTTAGGGATTTTCGTATTTCTCTGTGACAAAAGGGTACCTCTGGCATACTATGGGAAACCCTTTCAATGAACGGTGGAGTTTTTCCGTTTGGCACTGTGAGGTTGGAGTTGGAGGAAAACATTTGGGCAAGCATATTGGCTTTTTCCTCTGATGTTGTGGCTAAGTGATTATTTTTATCTGTAAGTGGTGGTATGGATGACTTGGTGAAGTTAGATCCAACAGCTTTTGCAAGAGACCAAAAAGACCTAGAACTACTTGGACAATTCAGCAACCTGTTTTTTATTCTTTGATTGTATGTTTCTTTAGCGGAGTCAATAGTAATTTTGCAACTATTTCTGGCTTCTATAAATTCTGTGTGGTTTTGAGCGGTTTGTTGTCGTTTCCAAAGGTTATATGCTCTGTGTTTTTTCTGTACAGCCGTTTGACACTGGCTGTTGAACCAAGGTTTTGCATTAGCTCTACGTTTAGTTGTATGTGGGATATATGCGTCCATTCCAGATAAGATTACTTGTGTTATTTCATTACAGCAAATAGTGGGACCAGCTGTTTTAAAGCAAACCTCTTGCCATGGAAAATCCAGGTAATACTGTTTTAGGTCATTCCATTTTGCCGATTTATAGTGCCACATTTTACGAGGAAGTGGTTGTAGGCTTGGTGGGATGAGCATTTCGCACTTTGTTATTATAAGTTTATGATCGGACAAACCAAGTGGAGCATCTACTTGAATTGTGTACGAGTCAGGATTGGTGGTTAGGAACAAGTCTAAAAGCGCTGCAAATTCGCCCCTTTCTGAGATACGGGTAGGTTCATCGACAAGCTGCGTTAGACCACAACTTATGGCAAAAGCTTCTGCTTCTCTGCCTTCGTTATCTGTTTTGTTGTGGTGTTTCAGCCAGGGTATATTGTGGACGTTGAAATCGCCTAAAAAGACAATTTCCGCCTGTGGATAGTTTGAGTGTATACTATCACAGCTTTCGGATAATGTCGCGAAAAAGTTTTGGTAATCGGTGTTACTTGGCGGTCGGTAGAGGCAGCAGATAAACTTGGTCGATGACTTTGAGGTGAATTTTAGCCATATGATATCAAGGTTCGCTGGTTCTAGCTTCTCCTCTCGATGACATGAAAGGTCATTTTTAATGTACACACAGATCCCAAAATTATGTCGAAATCGGTGATGTAGGTCGTAGCCGGGATAAAGATAGTTCACAATAGGTGTTGCAGAACTGATTTTAGTTTCAGTGAGAACAAGGATGTCAGGTCTTTGTTCTTCAAGATGTTGGTGAACTGAATTCATATTTGTACTTATTCCTCTTATATTGCTAAAATCAATTCTGAGTTGAGTTTTTGATCTTCTCTTTATATCTTTGCATGAAGGACCCCCAGGATCACCCGACGCCCGGAGATCCGAGTGGTCGGGTATTTTACCTCCGGAATATTTTGATCCTGGAGGCGCCATCATGCTATCTGTTACTCATTGTTGGAACCGGACTGCCAGCGCAGTAGCGGAACGTGGTGATACCACTTAGCGCTACTCATGCATTGTAAAACTGATTACAACCTGCAGGGATACCTCATTTTCCGACCAATCAGGGCCAAGCGTTATTGTTTATGTTTCAAAGTTTTCAATGTCAAAATCCACCTTGAGTTCTCAACAATAAGATTTTCATCCTCAAATCCTAACTCGATTCGACGCTTTACAGCCAATCTACGGACTTCGGCATCTTTCAGTAATAAAACAGTGCGATTTACAAATTACCTTTCCCGAATTGCCATTTTCACAAGAAAGATGACAAAAAAGCCAATTCGCTTTATTGACAAGTTCACTGTTTTGGTTTCCATGGTTACCAAGTGAAATATGACTATGAAAAAACAATTTTCATTGCTTTTCTTTCCATGGCTGTTTAGATTTTTCAAACAAATCACCAAGTGTATGTATACCTAATAACTAAACACTTAAACCCTAGGCCAAGGGATCATGAGGCAAAAAGTTTTTAGCACAAGCGTAGCGAGAACTGGAATTCATTGAGATAGAAAGTCACTTTTATCACAAAACGTAGGTACCTGAGTACCTACAAGTACACAATTTTTCACACTTTCGAACATTTTTGGTCATTAACTCATTTAGCTTAGTAATAGCCATAGTTTTTGAGCGCCGCTGGTATATAAAGGAAGAGTTACGAACACCTACTAAACATTTTTAGTTAAGGAAAGATAAAATAAACAACTTTTAAAGCAAGACATGCAAGTTTTTTTGCTTTATGTACACTTTATATAGGTACTTAGGTTGCCTAAGGTAGTATTAGAAAACCCCCTGTATATCCGAAACTAGTCATAGGATCGGTTTGTACCCATGAGAACTTTTACTCAGCAGGTCGAAATATACAACGTACTAAAATTTGATTAAATTCCGCGTTCAACCAAAATCCCATAAGAAGTGTGCGGGGTCCTTTAGCCGAATGAGCAATCCTGTAGAGTTTATGATTCTTGGATAGGAATTCTCTTTCATTTCATGCATTTACGGAAACACCTGTCCGATTAAATCGATCACCAGCTGTTTGTTTTTTATCTTTCTTTAATGATAACAGTTCTCCGGCAAGCAAGCCTCGAGTGTGATAAAATTTGAAAAAATGGACTAGGAAACATTATTTCACAATCAAGAATATGGCGTCAAACTAGAAAAAAAAAACTTTATTTTCAGTTTGAAATAAGGTAAATAATAAACTATTTATCTATTAATAAAACTACTAGGTATTATCGAACAGAATAATAAAATAAACCCTGACACAATAAAATTAAACATGAAAACTGACCAGAATATCGTCAAGTATTTATAGCCCTGTCGTATGTGGGCCACCTGACCTCTGGCAAAGAATTAAACTAGTTATCTATCACTAACACTAACTTCTAGGTATTATCGAACAGATGGAAAAAAAACAAGTACACAATAAAATTAAATGTCCTCATCATCTTCATCGGGCAAGGCGGTGTTTTCAGCTTTTTCCAGAACCTCCTCTAGGATATTTCCAATTTCCTGCTGCCAATGTGGGTTCATCCAGGGGTCCATGCGCTCTTCTGGTGGGACAGGAGCCGGCATGGTTACAAATACGAGGTTGGGATCATGAAGTAGTTGCTGGGACAGCCACAAAAACGGTTTTTCAAAGTTATACTTGGTCTTGGCCGAGATATCTTAATACTCAAGATTATGTTTGCGGTGGTACAAAATGTTCTGAGTTTTAACTTTTCTGTCTTGTATATCGACTTTGTTTCCACATAGTACAATTGGGACATTTTTGCATACTCTGGCTATATCTTTGTGCCAGTTAGGAACGTTTTTATAAGTTACTCGAGCGGTGACATCGTACATAATGATTGCGCACTGCGCCTGGTCATAGTAACTGTCACGGAGACTTCTAAATGTCTCCTGGCCGGAGGTTTCCCAAACGTTAAACTTAATTTGGCCTTGGTTTGTGTAGAAAACTAAGGGATGGACCTCTACCCTAAGGGTGGCTTGGTACTTTTTCTCAAACTCACCAGTTAAATGGCGTTTTATGAAGCTGGTTTTGCCAATGCCACCATCTCCTACGAGCACACATTTGAATGTCAGCAATTCTGGTTCTGCAGCCATAGTTTGGATGAGCTTCCGCGTTAATCGTTTAGATTCACAATAGTTTAATAATTAAAATAAGTTCTCAGCGTTAAAACTACTGCCGACTGCCGCGCAAATGATAAATTGAGTAGTGGAAATGTCATTTGTCAACAGATATTAAAAACTTAGGAGTGCGTTCGATAACCGCCCGTGCGGTATAATAAACAAACTGATGTCGTTCGTAGAGTCGGAGTTTATATAAAAATCGCACAGAAGTTTAATAATAATCACAATCAGCTGTCATCATTGAAAACTGGGGGTGCGTTCGATAACCTGGTGTGTAGTATAAAAAGCAAACTGATGTCGTTCGGAGACTGGAAGAAATAAGAATCATGCACAAGTTTTCGTCGAACCGTTGTACCAGTTCTAATTTAGTATTTAGTCTTAAGTTAGAATCGATAATTAAAACTTGTAGGTATAATATAAATTAATTATGTCGTTTGCATGGCAGACGTCTTCCCCAGTAATTATCCTAATCCTAACTATCCTAACTGATATTATAAATGCGGATGTGAGTTTGTTTGTTTGTTTATTTGTTATGCTTTCCCGAGTAAACCACTAAACCGATCACCATGAAATTTTGTGAACCAATTTTCAAGAGCATAATAAACAACATTTCATAAAAAAACAATATTAAAAAAAAAATAAAAATTCAATTAATTATAAACAAATTCATTCACATACATAACCCAACTTTTGGAGTGCATTCGACAAAGGGGTAAATTTTATCCGATCCGATCAAGGGTGAGAGTGGGTATATAATCACGTGTTCAGGGCCGGTTTTTCAATAGCAAGTCACTCCCGGGTTAAGCATAGCTCCAGGGTAAACATTGCAACTGGACACGTTTGCCCTGGAGTTAAAACCAATCCGGAGGTGACTCGCTATTGAGATTGAGAAACTGACCCTCAGAAAATAATTTTTTTATTATATCTGGTTTTCGAATGCACTATTAAATTTTTTTTTGACATCATCATGAAACAGAGTTGCCACATTTAGTTAAGCTGGCGCATTTACCCGACGTAACTATATTAGTTTTTATTGGAAAATATAGAAATTCAAATTTTTTATTAGAAAATATAAAAATTCAAATATAATAAAGTTGAAGAGTTTGTTTGTGAGGTAATTTCTGGAACTACCACTGACTCATTCACTCACTCACTCATTAAGAGATCTCCAAAACTATAGGTACGTCCGATTGACTCGAAATTTGAGGTAGGTATATACTCTTTTCTCGACGTAGACCCTCACTAAGAACGGACTCTACGGAACTCCTATCCGGAGCGGATATGTCACACAAAAAAAATCTAAAGATGTCCTCAAGACGAAGATGGGTGGCTACGGGTCTGAATAGACCGTATGGCGATGAAGTATTTATCAAGGCTCGGAGTATCTTGAACCACCAGGTGAGCGTTGATTGGTTGCGAAATTATCTTGGGAGACGCTATGCGTTCGTTTTCAGTGGAATTTAGAAACTTTTGGGTGGCAAAGCCTCTGATCTTATAAGTTTTCTCTTGTTTTGTGGACTTATTGGGAGTGCTGAAATTAACTAATCAGTTTTTAGCAGTAGTTGGTTTCTCTTGTATCTACAGGCCTGAGGTTACACTTAGGATATTTGGCCTGTCCTGTTATTCCTGTTGTGCGTATTTCATCTGTTGTTCTATACGTATATGTAAGTATGCTTCAATATTGGCAATAATGTCTTCTTATCGAATCTCCCTGTTAGTTATAGCAAACTTGGAACACTTGTTTCTGTGATTGTTAAGACACGTAGGGTGAGGTTGAGCACTCATATCATTATTAAACACAACCTTTATTTTTTTAAACGCTTTTTAATATTAATCTCAGCGCTACTGAGAATACTGAGATAAATACAGTATGTACTATAACACTTAGACTATTATACACTATACTTAAACACAATCTGTATTACGGTATAGAGCGATATCAAAAGGAATATTTAAATTTCTTTTATTCACTATGTGTGAAGGGACGATGATTGAGACTAAACAGAATATCTACTTCTACCTATACCAATTATAGGTACCTACCACTAGAAAAAAAAGTGTGTAGAAACTGGTCTGAGCTGTTGCAGAAAGTTCTATTTGTAGCACTAATAGGTTTGTTCGAACTTAGTTCAGAATCAGTTCTGAATTCAACTGCGCTTGCGCATTTGTTGATATATGTTCGATATGAACAAATGCGCAAGCGCAGTTCAATTCAGAACTGATTCTGAGCTAAGTTCGAACAAACCTTATAAAAGTAGGAAAGAATATTTAGTCCTTTATTTGGCGAAAATCAGAAACCGTACCGCAAGCTGCTACCTGACAACATCAAAATGTATGCAATAATAGTTCAAAATAATTGTATTTTCAGAAGGTGTGAAAAAAAAAATTAGAGGCAAGCTGATTTTTCAGGATTGTTCAAGGGGGGTGCCCTGCGTGTGAAAACACCGGAATCAGAAACTTTTCTCTTCCGCATTCTTAGCTACAGGGGTTGTTTCTCAATATTGTGCTACAATGGAATTTTTGGCCTCTAATTGTTGACAATCGGATTCTCTACAACTTTTTCCCATCTCTTTTTTTTTTAAATTCATTATTCACTAAGCTAGCGTCCATTTTGTAAGCAATTTTTTTGTACTTAAACTACTTAAACTACTATAGAGGGTGGGCCAATGGAAAATTTCCACCTCGATTTTTTGAATTTGAAAAAAAAAATAAAATCTGGAAAAACGCTCGGACACATCGAATTTTGATTTAGAGGAGAACTATTTTTCGTTTTTTTTTCATTTCCGTTGCTTTAACCCCCTAGCTGGGGGACGACATCCCCCCAAATTTGAACAAGGGAAAGGGGTCGTGTCATACCTCTTTTCAAAGGTCTCATCGAGTTCTTTATTACCGTAGAATTTCGTTTTATTACTTCTATCCGTGACGCAATGAGAGCTTGTCAAAGTCTTGGAAATAGACTATTGTTTTAGTAAGAGTGAAAGCGACACCTACTTACCTCCTCTAATAAAAATACTTACAATTGAAGTTGTTTAATTATTATCTATATTATTAATAATATTAGAAGTGTTTTTTTGACCTTTTTCTTATCAGTAGAGTCAAAAACAAAACAAAAAAAATATGTCAATTTCCGCTCGTAGGAAAAATGTTGTACCTAACACGAGCGTAAAGTATCTTTTCCGTACTATAACTTTCCGCACTGGCTAGGTAAGTTAACTATTATCCTAGCCTTTTTATACAATGCTATTATTAAGGAAGGTGAGTATTGCTTTTACTCCGACTAAAACAATAGTCTATTTCCAACATTTTTGCAAGCTGTCATTGCGTTACGGATAAAAATAATAAGACGAAATTCTAGGGTCATAAAGAGCTCCATCCCAATAAACATTTTTGTTTGTATAATAGTCACCGTAAATGTTATATCACCTATCTTAAATAACCTACAGTTATATATTTGGTAACAGAAACCTTTCTGTTACTCTTATCAACCCCTTAAAGAGCTTAAACGGGGCATTTATAAAGGTTGCCAAAACCTTTGTTTAGTAACGCTATATAAATTTAGGTCACGTAACCTAGAGTAACAGAAATATTGTGGTAACCTTTATATAACTTTCTAAATAACTCAAATATGTCACCTGTCAGTTATAAAAAAATCCAAGGTTTATTTCTTTCTCTATCGAGCATATTTTATATACAATGATATGGCCTTTTTCTACTTCTGAAATATTATCAGTCAGTAGTTAGAGGATTGAACTTAGAAAATGAAAATGGAGAGCGAATTATAAAATACGGCTTGGTTTGTCTTGTTAAATTAATTTTAGGCTCTTCCGTGACTAAAAATGTAGGTGGGAACGATTTTTTACAGTAAATATTGATGAAGTACTTCGAAAAAACGCAGGGGCCCTTAAAATACCCAATTATAATCAATTTCATGTCAGGTTTTCAAAAAATATACGTATGTATGTTTGTTTTTTTATTTGCGACGAATTAATGACCAACGAAATTTGTATAAGCCACCATTTGACAAGTATGGGTTAATTTCATATTAATTGTGGATAAAATAAGTCAAATATTGGATTTTCACAAAGTAATTCGGTAATATTGATCTTGGCAAAACAATCATGGCGGAATCAATGAAGTAACGATATAAATATTGGAAAGCTTTGTTTTGTGTTCTGCCAGTTTTTTAAATAATCCATGATTAATAATAATAATAAATAAAAATAAACTCCTGTTGTTGTTTACTAAAGTTTGCGAAGTTTTATAGGAGAAGCCTAATATAATTAATATCACCAAGAGTTTTATAACAAAGTTAGACCATTACTACAATTTACCAGTTTCTATAAGAGTGATTAATCACACTTCTATATAACTACGGGTATTTTAGTTATATAGATAAGGTAATGGCAAACCTTATATAAATTTGTTATAAACACATTGGTAACGGTTACTAAAAGTTTTATAAAATGGTGATGGAAACAGTTATATCCCCTTATTATAGACTTGTAATTTACAGTAATCATAAAAAACCGTTATATAAATACATCACCAAAAGGTACGGATTATAAAACTACGAAACTTTCGTATATAGGTACTTCTATTACCTTTATACAGGGTGTCCCAGAATATGTGGGCAATCTCTCGGATTTAGATAGAACGCAAAAAAATAACATGACAACATCCTATAAAAAAAAATTCCTACGGCCCCCCTACAAAGTTACGTGCCCCTGAAGGACGCCTCTGAAAATCGGTTTTTTGTTGATAACTTTCAAAATACTTCGAGTAATTATTTTTTTTTTTAATATGATGGATACTAGATAAGACCCCTTAAAATGGACCCTTTCAAACACACTTGGCCAATCTAGTTTGCCAGGGACGGACTAGCTTTAACACAATAATGCTAATTTTTTTTACACCCTGTATGATATAGACATAGCAACAATATTTTTAGATAGTTTCAACCTTGAACTAGAAAA